ACCTATGAACTGTACAACTCAGTTGAACAGCAAACTGAAATCTTTTAGGTGGAGGGTAGTGTAAATAAAAAACTGAAATAATACGGTTGCATCTGTGTGCACACCCTCTTGTAACTGGGGATGTAGCTGTGTTCAGCAGTAAACAATCACATTTAAACTCATGTTAAGTAGGAGTCAGTATACCCCTGCCATCATTTAAAGTGCCTCTGAGGAATCCCAAATAAAGATCAGCTATGCTAGTAGGTCTTTCCTGACATTTTCGTAGTCACATCCTACAGCAGAAGCCGTGGTCCACAGAGAGTTTCCAAAGCAGCAGAAAGCTGAACATAAGGAGGAACTTCATCTTTCAGCATGACAACAACCCAAAGCACACATCCAAATTAACAAAGGAATGGCTTCACCAGAAGAAGATTAACATTTTGGAATGGCCCAGCCAGAGCCCAGACCTGAATCAGATTGAACATCTGTGGAGTGATTTGAAGAGGGCTGTGCACAGGAGACGCCTTTGCAATCTGACAGATTTGGAGTGTTTTTGCAAAGAGGAGTGGGCAAATACTGCCAAGTCAAGATGTGCCATAATGATAGACTCATACCCAAAAAGGCTGAGTGCTGTAGTAAAATCAAAAGAAGTGCTTCAACAAAGTCTTAGTTTAAAGGTGTGCACACAGATGCAATCATTATTTCAGTTTTTTAGTTTTACTTCCCTCCACCTAAAAGATTTGTTTGCTGTTCAACTGAGTTGTACAGTTCATAGGTGTCATTAAAGCTGGAAAAAGTTCTGAAATTATTTATCTTTGTCTCATTTTTTACATCACAGACACTTGATATTTTAGCAGGGGTGTGTAAACTTTTTATATCCATTGTAGATGTTTAAATATTAATTATTGCTAATCATGTTTCATTTTTTTCCCTAACTTTGCAGTCAGCGGGGCAAACCAATTTGAACACTTATGCAATTATCTCTCCTTGCCAAACAATCTCATTTGCCTTTTTCAAGACAACAGCAAAATTGCAAACACATTAGTAGAAAGGTAGGAACTGTATTATTTTCCATTAAATATATGTGCTATGTAATAGTTGCCATCTCCTAGTTCAGGAAACAATTGGACGGAGCAGCTGAACTCTGGATTCAAGCCATTTAATCATGTAGTTCTTTGTCAGTTACCTGAAATCTAATGCTTCCTCTATTCCTTCTGTTTCAGCTGGTGTAATAATGATGAAGTAAAACGATACCTGCAAGGTCAGAGACAAGCCATAAGGTAAATGAGAATTCCCCCACTGGTGGTATTGGTTGTTTTCCCTTGAATGTTCCCAAAGGACATTAAATGTTAGAGCATCAGTGATTCTAAGTAGGTTTAGACCTGAACAGGAGCCTGGAACACCTGTGGAAATTTAGTCTGAGAGAAGGATATGCATGTAGTAACATTTTCTGCTAACAAAAAAACAAGTAAATTTTGTCCAAAAGATGCCTGCATTACAATCTGATAAGAATTTCACCTTCCGTAGTTTTTTAGGTGGTCCTGTGGGATTGTGGCTAAATCATGTCATGCAGTCCTCAAAGTTTTGATGTATAAAAGTTTAATGTTAGATGAATTAAGAGTGAATTCCTTTCACCATAATGGAGCAAATTGCTTATCGAACTTGACTTTACATATAGATTTGAAATGTTTTATATCTAATTGTTTCATCTTAGCTATCCACGAGAATCTAACAAACTGATAGATCTTCCTGATGATTACAGTTGCCTCATCAATCAAGCATCGAATTTTTCGTAAGCCTTTTATGCAATTCACTATTTTTTTTTATTGTTAACAAGCATAATTCAAAGAGCAGGAAATCCTATTTTGGCCAGGTACAAAATTCACAAGTCTTGGCACCATCAGTTGAAAAGATACTGAGCAGCAGGACTTAGCTATGTGCCAGAGACCTCAGAGAGCTACTTGATCATCCTGGTTTAGGTGGGCCAATTGCTTGGCTCACCAAGAGACAGCTTCTAAACTATGAAAGTTACAATTTTAGAGTACAGTTCCCAGAACCCTCCCTTTCCTAGCATGACCATTTCTATCCTGAGCACCTTATTGTGTTTAAACTTGGAAAATTCACAGATGCTTAGGTTTTCAACTCCATACTACTTTCTTCATCAATCAGTATTATTTTACATGTTAAGACATACTAATATTTTCTAAAAACATCTCTATATAATCTTGGACCAAAAGTTCCCATGTGCCAAGCAATAAAGTGTTTATATATTTTATCTGGAAAATTTGTTTAGTAATCACATGATACTTGTCCTAGTATTTGCATCTGAATAATGGTAAATACTCCAATGTGTTAACCGCATTTTCTTTCTCTTACAAAGGTGCCCAAAATCAGGTGGTGATAAAAGCAGAGCACCAACATTGTGCCTTGTATGTGGTACTTTGTTGTGTTCTCAGAGTTACTGTTGTCAAACAGAACTGGAAGGAGAAGATGTAGGAGCTTGTACTGCACATACTTACTCCTGTGGCTCTGGAGTGGGAATCTTTCTCAGGCAAGCACATGGTTGTATTTAATTAACTTATGCAAAAGGAAAACAAATTACCCAATTCCCCAATTTCGTGGTGTGGAACTGGCTTAGCTCTTTAGCTTGTTCTCTGTTGCCAAACTCCAGCCTCCACAAGCTGGAGCAAATTAACAGAGTTATATGTCAATGTACATTGCGCGTTCTGTGACCAGGATGCTGTCTTTTGCATGTTCTTTTCAGAGTACGGGAGTGTCAGGTGCTGTTCCTAGCTGGGAAAACAAAGGGCTGCTTCTACGCTCCTCCCTACCTTGATGACTATGGAGAGACAGATCAAGGCCTCAGGTTGTTTCTCAGCATTTGGCTTTTAATCCTAAGTGAGATGTGTTGAGCCGTTTTTGTTGTCTGTACCAATTTGGGTGGTCGCTGTTCGTTGTAGCTTGTGTGTGCAAAACACATAGAGCTTAGAAAAGGCCCTTTTTTGGTCCATGTTCTTCAGATTGGCCTAGTCATTCTGGCCTTTGGAAGTTGTAGACCAAAAAAATGCACTATTCCAGTGTCTGCAAAGTTCATGTAGGATTTTAAGTTTTAGATCTGAAAGAACTACAAGGGTTGGAAGCCACCAAGAGTCTTGAAACACGTAAAAACCAGCCAGATGGTTTTGATGAATGATGTCCTGTTTTGGTGCCAAAAAATGAACTGGCACACTAAAGCCTGAGTGTGTGAATCTCTGTTAAATCATTTCAGCTCTTACAGTTTTTTGGGAGCATCATGGAAACTCTCTGTGATATTTGGCACTGAAGACCTGTGACTTTAGGGTTAGAATCAGGGGAGGCATAGCTTGTGGGCAACACATTAGAACAAGAAGAGAAGTCACAATCTCTGCCTTTTGCACCTGAGCAGGTGATGACATTTCTAACATTTTATAGTCCACATCTCAGGTTTCCAAAATGCTGCTTCTGTTGGAGCAACTTGTGGCTCTCCAGACTTACTATACATAAATGATTGGAGTAGTATATGTTGCCTCACCACTGATTTAGATAATCCTTACAATCTCTGTGTTAGATGGATCAGTATACAGATGTTTAGGGGAGCTAGTGTGAGAGGGAGTAGTTGATTACATAACAATGTACACAACACACATTTTGAATGGAAAGCTTCCCGGCTATTAGTTTGCATTTTTTTTTAACTTTCTGTCTAAGAAAACAGTTATTTAAATTGCTTATATTGCACATGTGCAAAAATTTGAGCATTGGAACTCTGATATTCTCTTATGTTATTAATCACCATTTTACTTACTTGTCCCTAGGCGTGGGAATCCTTTGCATCTCTGCGGAGAGCGATTCAAAAAGATTCAAAAACTCTGGCAACAGCACAGTATCACAGAAGAAATAGGACATGCACAAGAAGCAAATCAAACTTTAGTAGGCATTGACTGGCAGCATTTATAATTTATTTTCTGAGGACTGGAACTTCATTATCTTTTTTTTTTAAATCCCGAAAAAATGGTCAAAGAAGTGGAAAATTAGGAAAAAAAGGATTGAAACAATAAAGAGAAGATTCTAGTTTTTTAATTCACTTTTTCCATGTTTGTTTTGTTCATTTCCTGGTTACTATAACCATCTAAACACTACTTTGCATTGCAGGTTTAATCAATAGTATTCTTTGGTTCCTTCAAACACAATTTTTAGTTTTTATAACTTGGACTAGTGAAATTTAAATTTCTGGTACAAAAGTGGCAATCTCCCTGGTATCTGGCTGATTTTTTTTTTTTAACAATTAAAAGGGGAGGGAAATCTCTGCCAAATGGCCGTTAAACCAAGCACAATGTTGAGGTGGTTTGTTTGCCCTCTGGTAGTAAATCTGAGCCAATTAATTTCCTTTTTAGTACTTAAAATGTTCTTTACATGAATTGAATTAAATGAAATAAGGGTGCAAAAATGTAGCAATGGATCCATCTAAAATAGGGCATAAGAACATTCATTGTATCTAAAATGGTTTTGTAATCTGCAGCCTTGAAAGGGCTCATTTGCTTTTGTATTCTTGTTATGTGGAAGGATATTTAATAAGGAAAATTAATACTTAAAGATATTTCTGAAGCCTTGCACTCTTTAAATATATTGTGTGGATTGTGATAATGAAATACCGGGCAAAATAACTTTGTTTTCAATGCTGTGATTGGTAGACTTCAGTGTTAAAAAGGTTGACATTTTTCTAGAATGAGATACTAAGTTTGCAAATCATCTGTCAAAGATGTCATCTTATTTCAAGACAACTTTGAGGAAGAGAATGAAGATTTTTAAAACATGTTTGTTTACTTCCAGCTTTCAATATTCAGGATACACTTGCCTTTTTACAGATTTGAAGATAACACAAAATACTAAGTAGAACACATGGACTGTTCTTCCCCTTTCCGCCTAAGTTTGCAGACTTCTAATTGCAGTTTTCTCATTCTTTAATTTCCTTCTACAATACCACCAACTACATGAATTTGCACTTGGCTGGCATTCTGTAAAGAAGTTTGTCTATAGTATATTTTATACGTATATTGAAATAACTGCACAGATTTTGCACATGAGTGCATGAAGGCAGTAAATTTTCTAAATATACACGAGGCCTCCAAGAGAACAATATAAAATAGCATAATATGCTTTCTGAAGAGTGCTTGCATATTCCATCCCTTTCCAGTATCATTCTTTTTTTAATGACATGTTACTATGGTGTCTCTTTCACAAAGTTATAATTATCTGCAATTTTAACAAGTTCTGGTACATTTTATTTTTTGGATTTAATACTTGGTGCAGAGAAGCCATCCCATGAACATCCACTATATTTACAATTGCTGTAAGTTATATTTTTACCACCTTATTGCATCAGCTAGTGACAGCGTATTTTCTATGGGCTCAGAATAGTTGCAATTCATATCTTGAGATACAGATACAAAACTTAGACCAGCTTGGTTGCCACTTCTTGGGGCAATTTTCGGCAGACCATGTCTGTCTGATCAGAGTCTTCCTACATGTATTAGCAATTTCTGAGCCACTCTTTTGCTACAAGTGTTGGTAACTACCAAGAAAATACCTGTTCTTTATTTTCCCTTCTTTGAATAGATTGTAGATAAGAATATTTGCCATGCATGTTTATGCTTAACGTACTAGTTCTGCTCTAACGGTATTTCTTTGGGATTTTGCAAAATTTACTTTAAGAAGCATAGAGTAAAAATGAATTAGATTCCAGTTTTCTCTCCCTCTCCTGTTAGATGCACAGGTATTTCAATAACAGCGAAATAGGATCTGCTGCTATGAAAATTACAGATTTCTGTATAAAGTAAATATTGAAAGAATAAGCTATTTTCCCCTCAGGTACGGTAGTCTGAGTTGGAGATCTTATATGTTGGTGGAATTATGATTGTAAGACATTGGAAAGTGATTAATTTATCCTGTTTTTCTGTAACGTTGCTCATCCTTCAACAACCCATTTTCTTCTCTGATTCCCCCGCCTTTGCATGTATTTATGTTCATTGTAGAAATGTTTATATAACAAGCTTTCAGTATCAGGGAGTTCATACCTGTAACAAATTGGCTATAAATTTTCATATCTGTGGACAACTTGTAAAAATTGAAGTGTATCATATGTATAAAAGTATAAGAATAAAAGCTTTAGGTGTTGACATTCAACTGATGGTTAAGCCTGGCTTGCTTTTTAAAGGAGAAAATCCTGCTGGAAACTGGATGAGCTCACATCATCAACATCTAGAGTTTCCAGCTCAAAGTTTTATTTTCACCACTTCAGGGCCCCAAATCAACCTGGACCAAAGGACAGATGTCAACATACAGTTGCATTATTGGTATACAGTAGGGCATATTGAGCAAAATACTGTTGTATAACTTTGCGCTTCCGCAACCTAGATTGGATGCCAACAGTATTTAATTTAAAGTAATTAAAGGCATCTTGGCTCCCTCTTTTAAGATTCTGAGGCCCCCTGGGGCTCTCTTTTGCCTAGCCCTAGCGGAAGCTTTTGGAAACCTAGGGGGGCGGGGCTAGGAAAAAAATCACCACCACCAGGATGGGGATTGCTGCAAGTGATCTGGTGATCATTTTAAAAAAAAAAAACTATTAAAGGCTCCTTCATCCTCCATCCCAAAGCTCCCAAGGGCATATCCAAAGCCCTAGGGAGACTCAGAAACTAAAAGGTTGGGACAAGAACTTTTAATTGCTTTAAATTAAAGGCTTCCAGCACCCAATCTGAGTTATGCCAAGCAAAGTTACACCAATAGGATTTTGCCCAGTACAAAGCATAGAAAAAAATCCATGTATTGCTAAACCAGAGGTTTAGAGAAATAATGTTCAAGATCCTCTTAGGTCCACACAGTTTTAAGCTCCACATTGTGTTAACTTGTGTGTGATTATTCTGACTGCCTGTTGAGTATCAGTTGCTCATCTGGGCACAAAAAACACTTGCACATTTTCTCTTTTGCACACATTATTTCACAATAGGATTTCAGTCACTAGGTATAGAATCATGAACTTAAATTGCTAACCTTACATGATGGATTATGATTCTGTTAATGTTCATCTCCTGAATGCAATAGTTATTCATATTATCAGATGTTGTTAGCTCCATAGAAATTGCTTTTCAGTAAGGGGGAATTACACATCTAGTTCAAAGTTATCAGGTGGTATATATATACATGTATGAACTGTGCCACTAGTTTGGGTTCAGATTTTAAGTTGGCTCCAGGTGAGCCCTCTTGAAATCAGCATAAAATTTTACATGTGGTTTAGTTTCTATAAAGTCAGTGGGAGTGCAATGTAAATAATTTAATCTGGATTTATTGTGTTCTATACAGTGATGATTGCCCATTCTTCTTGGGTCTGTCAGAATAGGAACAAAAGATTGTATCTCTGTAAGGGGAAAAAGGTCTCTGCATTTCTTAATTTGTTGCCTTGTGGAAAATAAACTGATCCAGGCATTTATCTCCCAGTAGGGTGCTATTAGTGATGTTCTATTTCTCTGGCCTTATCTCTTAATTAACCTCTAATGCTCCTCTTTTAAAGAGCATTTTAAAAATCTCATGTGATCTTTTAAGCTCGATGTCAGCTTGAATACAAGGAAAGTTAACAGCAAACATCGTTGCATTTTGCTGATACTGGAATGTGTTTTTTTACAAATTCTGTTTCATTATTGCAGTTTGTGCCAATTACCGGTTCACTAGAGGTTACTGTAGGCATGAGGAGCCTGATATAGCCTTCCCCTGCTAAGCAGTCCATGCACAGAGAAGCAAGCATTGTCCGGTATTAGGTGTTCAGGATAGAGCAATGCATGAAGGTTAATCTTGTAAATTGTATTAAGGTTACTTAGGAATAATTAGCACTGAAGAACCTGCATATATTTTTCCCCTTCTTCATATGTCTCACCAAGCATTCTGTGCCTTTGGAGAGGACTAAGGGGGAAATCTTCAATTATTTGAGATAATGAATAAATTTCTCTAAAGTTAAATAGAAGTGATACAATGCCAGAGCATTACGGTAAATTCAGTGGTCTTTGACATATATACAAAAGACTGCAATCATCTGAGTGGTCATTGCTTCAAGCCAGTGTCCTTTTATAAGCTGGGATAACTGAATGATTAAATGTGGTTAAGAGTCCCAACTGCCTTATTCGTAGACATTTGTTTCACATAGCATTGAGGATATAAAGTTGCTTATTCTGAAGCATCAAAACTGTGGCATCTTAAAGCATGTATTAGCCCTTAAGGAAAGGGATCTGAGACCTGTGTCACAGGGTAGGTGCATAACCCATGGCTTTACAAACTGAGTACAGTATAGCTCTGTTAATGGTCAATCAGTCACACTAGCTAAATGGCTATAGTCCTCATTTTTTCTTTCTTTAAATCAAACATGATTTGGAGGGTTCTTTAACAAGAAGATTGTATCTGACAGTTTTTTCAAATCAGTATAGCACTCTCTTCTATAAAGTAGGATATATGACCAGTTGAAATATATCGGGGGGGGGATATATATATGTTTGTTATTGTAAAACCATTTAATGTAATAAAACTTTAATGGCTTCCAGGAAGGAGCCTATTACTTTCAGTCCTGGTTTGTAGGCTTCCAAAGGTTTGTGATTAATTCCTGTTCGAAGCAAAATACTGCAATGGACTCTCACTTGTGAAACAGAGACTTGGTGGAACTGGAGGAGGGGACGCTTGTCTGCATAGCTGCTTCCTTCTCCTAATGCTTCAAACACCACCTACTGATGGTTGCAGAACCTTTCAGATACAGTTTTAGTCCTGGTTTGTAGGCTTCCAAAGGTATGCGATTAACTCCTGTTCGAAGCAAAATACTGCAATGGACTTTCACTTGTGAAACAGAGACTTGGTGGAACTGGAGGAGGGGAAGCTTGTCTGCATAGCTGCTTCCTTCTCCTAATGCTTCAAACCCCACCTACTGATGGTTGCAGAACCTTTCAGATACAGTTTTATTCAGTGCTGAGCGGGGGGAAGTTCAATCAGCATAATATGCTAATCATTCATTACGGATGAAGAACTTTTGAGTGCTTTGACAGAGACAGGGTATATGCAATCTCCACACATGGTTTAGTTACATCCCGTTTGGATTACTGTAACACACTCTATGTGGGGCTGCCTTTGAAGATGGTTCAGAAACTGGTGCAAAACTGACTGGAGCCAGCTACAGGGTGTGTATAAAGCACATGTTACAAGAACTGCACTGGCTACCAGTCTCTTTCATGCCCATTTCAAAGTTCTGGTCATTACCTATAAAGCCCATGCCCAATTCAAAGTTCTGGTCATTACCGATAAAGCCCTAAACAGCTTGGGTCCAGGGTACCTGAAGGACCGTATCTCCCTATATGCGTTGGGTCCAGGGTACCTGAAGGACCATATCTCCCTATATGCCCCTTCTCGGCGATTAAGATCATATATTGTTTATTTTTTAATATTCAACTTACTGTTTTTTTAATTGTGTGAATTTTAATGTTGTGAGCTGCTTTGGGTCCCTTGTTGGGGGAAATGCTCCATATTCTTATTATTATTGTTGTTGTTTTGTTGTTATTGTTGTTATTGGGGTACCTGAAGGACCATATCTCCCTATATGCCCCTTCTCGGCGATTAAGATCATATATTGTTTATTTTTTAATATTCAACTTACTGTTTTTTTAATTGTGTGAATTTTAATGTTGTGAGCTGCTTTGGGTCCCTTGTTGGGGGAAATGCTCCATATTCTTATTATTATTGTTGTTGTTTTGTTGTTATTGTTGTTATTGTTCTTGTTGTTATTAAGTAATAATATTAAGAAGGAGAAGAAATTTTAATGTGGAATATGTATTTATAAATGCATGTATTGTATTCATGTACTACAATGCTGTTAGAGCAGTACAGCAGTGGAACCATTTACCTTGGAAGGTGACGAGCAGTCCAACGCTGGAGACATTCAAGAGAAAATTGGACAACCACCTGTCAAATTTGCTTTCATTTGGATTCCTGCATTGAACAGGGGAGTGGACTCAATGGCCGTATAGGCCTCTTCCAGCTGAATTATTCTATGATTCTTTCTGAAGCCTTTCTTTCCTGCATCATGGAACTCAATGCTGTAGGACTCCCAAGCAGGTACTGGTCAAACCCAGACTTATTTTCTAAGTTTCAACAAGTTGCTGCAGCATGTCTTTCTAGAATCTAGATCATGACCATGGATTAGCCCTCTTCAACCTCCTGCTGTAGTTCTATCAAGAGTACACTATGTAGCAAATGTTGAATTCTTCACCATGTTATTTGTGAAACTGCTCTCAGAGTCTGGTAAAAAGAAAAGTAGAAGACATGGTTCCAAGCTTTAACAGACAGTTACAAACTCTTCCAGTCCAAGAAGAATTTATGTGAGCAAAAGCCCTATAACAACTACAGGGCCACCAGTGGTGGAAATAATGAAGGAGTAAAACAATGTATTAAACATAATATATTTCAACATTTTCTGAACAAGTAGTCTTAAAATACATCTTTGTAAACCTCTACATTCACATCAGCAAAATAGCACCTACATATTTAAATGGCATTTACAAGTCTCACACAATCTCATTTGACAGGACAAACATTACAAATTGCATAATATACAGCTGTCATGCCAACAGACTGGAATATTTTACACAATAGTTGTGTCTCTTCTGGTCGCTTGTCTAAAACCCATTTCCCCATCTTTCTCAATGAGTAACCTTCACCAGTAGTTTGTGCCTCTATCAAGGGGATGGAGTAGCCAAATCTAATGGAAGTTCCCCCCCCAAAAAAATTTTTTGCCTTACTTTTTCCATGGGAAGCAATACAACCCAGTGCTAGAAAATTCAACTTGAAAGGAAGGAAAAAAATAATTCCTTCAGAATAACCCAATTGCTCCTCATAATCCTGTACAGAAAATAGCTAGGCTTCCTGAGTCTCACAACTCAAACGTATTTCAACAGCCTCTGCCCATTGAACATTAATGAAGGTATCTTTGAAATCAGCAAAGATGACAAGACTTTGTAGGGAACTGAAGTATTTTAATATGGCAATAAATGTAATAATATAGGGCAGAGTATAATGAAGTCTTGCCAAACACATTTCTGAAATCACCGAGGTCAAATTCTTACCCACTTGCTTACCTCTGAAAGTCAGGCTTGTGTTTATCAAACTCAGCCAATTGTACACAAAGGTTTTTTGTGTATGTTTGTACTTACTAATACTGTTTAATAACTTGTGCCATTCACAGATGATACACTTCTTGCTCTTCCAAAAACTGGTCTCAAATGCTGGATAGTTGTGGAATAAAGAAATGGATCGTTCATTTATACGTAGAGGTCTATACCAATGTGATAAACATTTTCTGTGTAGATTCGTATCAGTGAAAGATTTGAAAACTGAGAAGACAAAACATTTCACAAACTGGGCGGGATTGTTCAGCTCAGAAACAGTATTTGTAGGATTTGGTAGGTTACAGAATATTTTAGTCCTTCTCTTAATGTCTGACTAGTTGTCAGTTCCTGATATGTTTTTCCTCTTAAACATTTGCCCCTTTCTTTCTGTAGCTGCTGCTAAAATTCTTGTCCTTACTCAAGCTGTTATTTACTAAGGCTGCTACTTTAACATACTCATGGTTAGTATTTTCTCTAAGCTGAGTCTTACTGAACTTCACTGTGATAATGTCACTCTTTTGCTTAAACCTCTGGCCTGCTCCTTATCCCTTTTCATAACGGCTCCAGGGCTACAGCCTTTATATCAAAGCTCTCAGGCTATGGCCATTTGTCCATATCTAGAAAACAAGTTGGACAAGACCTTGCGCCTCTCTCTTTCCTCACTAGGAATATTGCATTAAATTACTAAACCATACCCAGCGGCATAATGGTATGTTTGGAAGTGCACATGCTCATTGTGAGAGTCCCCGTAGCCATACCCTCCCTATAAGGAGAGTACAAAAATGTATATAATTGGACCACTGTGTATCAAGAATTGAAGAGCAGATGTTTTGTAAAGTTAATGGCTCTGAATTGCCTAGTCAAGACCAAACCACTCTCAAATATCTGGCATTACAACAGGTATAATTTACAATATACTGTTGTTAGGAAAATCCATCTGTCTTTTAGCTACTATGAGGATTTCAACTAAGTTCAGTGGCTAAGGGAAGCCTGAGGGTAGTGGTGGATGATGTAATAGTCCCTGCTACTTGGAAAGTCTCAGGGCTTTGATCTTGTGAGCCCTTGCTTCACCTTGGTGACAGAGGGCACACAAGATCCTGGCTTTTAGGGTCTACCTTTTCAGATCAAAGAAACCCAGCTAGCAATGTTCAGGAAGATTCTGGATAGCTGCCACCAGTGAAAGTAGATCAGCAATACTGGAGAAGGGCTGGGTTGATCAGTGATCCCTAACAGAACCAGTTCATCATAAGGCCGCTTCACGTCTTCCTGTGCAACCCATTCCTCAAAGTCCTTTCTCTTAAGCATTTTGCCAATGCCTCCTCAAGCATCTCTAACCTGTGTTTTTATTGCTAAACACACACTCCTGCTGAGATTAGTAAGACTTTTCTAGAAGGATAGCTACTCACAGTGTCTAGGAATATGCTGGAACTAGTTAACTGTTTAAGAGGAGACTTTTGCTTTCTCTTGAGAAAGGCTTGCCCAGCAAAAACATGTATATACATATAAATAAATATAAAATATAATCTCCATATAGATTAAAGATAAAAATCTCTTTACATACAAGTTATTTCCCATGTATTATTCCTGCTTATAAAATTAAAAGGTATTTGCTATGATCACCCATTTCAGAGGAATTTACAACCACGTTGGGTAACATTTGGATTAAAAATGCATTTAATCAACATTTTCTGTAAGCTGCAAAGAAGAATTGAATGTGGATCTTTTATTATGGAATAGTTTACACATATCACAATGTGGTAAAATTAAAAATCCAGATGTTGATTTGAGACAATTTCTCCCTTTGGCAACTAAGCATTTCAAACTGGTTTCCATGATTATCCTACAACCAACACTTAGTTTACATATCAGATTTGTTATTTGGTAAACCAAGATAATTTCCCTTGAGATACAGAAAGAGATGTCATGGTTATTAAGTACTGCAGCATCTGAGTAGCCAGTGGCAACTTTGATTATAGCTTATCCTGCTGTTCAAATCAGGGGCTCTTCTTTCCATAAAAGCACAAATTTGTGTTCAGTGCATAAATGTTTAGCACAATATTTCATTATTTTTGTACATCATGTGAATATAGTAGAAGTCAGTTTTCCAACGGCAAATTATGCGCTTTTGTCCAAATAGAGTTTAAAAGCTATCTACTTTTTAATGTATCCTTCCACTTGTTTGACATCTGGTGTTTTTTTTTCCCCTACCAAGGTACAGGTAATGGCCATTAACTATTTTTTAAAGTATTTTTCTTTTTCCAAGTCTACTTTTAAATTTAAGTTCAAAAACAATACAGTTCCATATTTAAGTGGAACAGTTCAATAATGATGAGAGAGAAAAATGTAAGGTAGTGCCAATCAATTTTTCTCACCACATTCCTCACGAAATATTACCTGAAATGAGAATATAATGTCCCTAACACATTGGTTCCTCTGCTTCAAAGATATCATGCTACAGCCCTTTCCCCATAGACATTAGTGACTGTCTTTTCTGTCTATTGTAAGGATGTTTGCACTGTCCCAAATGTACACTATACTGTGAAGGTTCTATGTACAAAAACTGGTGCTTGGTGTATACAAATGTATAACCGTGGTTGCTTGTGAACTTTTAAAAGTGAATATTCACAAATTTCAGTCTTTGGTAACTGTTGTGTTAACTCAGCTGACGGTTGAGACAGCTTGGATTTTTGCACCTTCTCCGTCCGCTCCTTCGGCACTTGCGTCCACTTGATTCAGTTTACCAAGGTTTTTCAAATTTTCCAGGGTGGTTTTAAAAGTTTCTTTCAGGTTCTTCTCCAAGACCCACCCTTCACTCTCGCATTCAGGATCTTCTGGATTCGTGATGCTCTCCAGAGAGGTATGCAATAGCCGCAACCCAATCATAACCGCTATCTAGGTAAGATACAGAACAAAGGGTAGGTCAATTTGCCTGAAAGCTTGGACCACAGCCTCCCTTTCCATACAGAACTGTAGACATACTTAAGTGTGCAAGGCTCATGGGTAAGCAGAGAGTCGCTGAAAGGATCAGGCCCCAAGCCATGAAGGAGCTTAAAGGCAAAAACAAACACTTTCCACTGGGTCCAGAAACAAGCTGGCTGCCAGTGCTGTTGCTTCTGGACTCATTGTGACATATATGAATTAATGATTTATGCTGATTGACAGGTGATCAAGAGCCAAAATTTTGCACTAGTTTCAGAGCGAGTATGAATTACAATCAGAGACTGGAAAATTACATTTCCAGACTCTTGATAGGAACTGCTTTCCCTCGAAGAAGCTAATGTCAATGCCACTTCTGAGAGGATGTTTTGGAACCTTTGACATGGTACCTCCTTCCAGACAAGAGGCAAGATCTAGTTGTGCTGATTCTTTTGGTGGAGGGTTAGCCTAACCGTCCAGGACCATCTTGAATAGAGACATTGCAGAAAAGTCTTTGGCTGAATTCAGCCTTGACTTTCTCAGTTTATCTAAGAACATATTTTGCCTATATCAACTTAATATGTGCTATGTAGCAATGGAGATGATGGTGTTTGGCAGAAGTGATATTCTTCGGCATGGCAGAGAAACTGTTCCATCACAAACACCAGAACACAATGCAGGTTTAACCAGTACCAGCAGGATTACCAGCAGAAGCTGAAAGTGTCTTTTCTGCTTTATCTGGGCTGAAACTGATTTCCTTTAAATGACCCTACAAGACTGCAGGCTCTGTTTTGGAACTTGCTTTAAAAAAGAGAGCCTGGTATCTACATCTGGCCATGATCTTGGAGACTTTCCAGTTAGTTCCACCTCTGTCACCTCTAGTGCTTAGCCTGTTGAAAAGTCTTGCGGGCCCTGAAACCTAGCACTTGTTTGAGAGATTTTAGTGGTCTATTAAAGGTATCATCCACCCTTGTTTTTGAATTGCATATAACAACCACATAGCTTTTTACTTCTTTTTAAAATACACTGTGCTATTATTGCCAATGAGCCCAAAAATACCCCCTGTCTCTCTGTAATGGTCAATTTTGATATTGCACCTTGGAGATATCTTTAAAAATATGAAAAACAAAAATAAAGCATACTGCCTTTGCTACTTAAGATTGATAAGATAATGGCACAAAAACTGAAAAAGTCTCCTAAACAATGACTTTTACTTCAGAATATCATGTCTGAAAGTGATTAGGTATTACTTCTCACACTTCAGTAATTCAGCATTAATCTTTATTTCAAAAATAACTTTGCAACTACTAGTAGCACATTCACCCAAAAGTAGCTCATTACATGTAACTATATTACTCATAGCTATTTACTTTAAAGCTCCGATGCAGCCATATAACAGGCAGAACATGTATTGTGAGACGTTCCTTTGATAATTGCTGAGCTCTGTAGTAACCATTTTACGTCTAAAACGCTAATATACAAGTTATAGTTTAATGTGCTGGCAATAAGTAATTTTAATTATTTAGTTATTAATAACGTAGCAGCCAAGGTCGTATAGTGGTCTGAAGTATTAGAGCATGCCTTGGGATTCTCTGATACAAGTTTTCCTTACTATACCTGGCTCTTTCTCAACCTGAAAAGAGCATAACTTTTGAGAGGGAGGACCACAATTCTTGGCAATTGAAGAAATGGAACAAGAGTTCAAAAGGAGTTGCGGAAGCCAATGAAGAGACATAAAGCTATTCAGCTATTTAACAGTAAACTCCTAGGCAGGTTAACTAAGACACAGGACTGGCTGGATTCAGTGGGCCTTACTCCTTTGCTTAGGACTGAAGTCCTATTGCCTGAGGTCTAATTGATTATGACATTAGTCAGTATGTTGTTTGCATATGATATTGGTTATGGAAAAATGTATTTATTTAGAAATTATTCATAGTTTTCTGAAAACAGACATTGCCTCTTCTGGCCTTCCTAGTACAATTACTATCTGAATCACCTTCAGGTTTCCCAGTTCAAGCTATGGGAGAATTAAGACCCGAGGTTACGTCTAAGGTCAACTATTCTGTCCTGTAGAAGAGTATTGTCCTTATGTATCATTTCCAAGTTATCTGCTTAGTATTCCAAATCATTTGCTGATCCTCTATGAAACAGCTAATGATATTACAGAATCTCACATCTCATTATGGCAAATTATGAGATTCACAAAATCTCATTATGGCAATTTGTAAAATATTCGTCTTTTTGATGAAACTGAACATGTAACAGATCCTTAAAGCAGAAAGAAAATGTTGCAGTCTTTAAATGTAGTTCATAATTTGACCTTTATCAATTGAAAAGTAGAACATTTCCATTAAACGGCAATAAAACTGACCTAAATCCAATCGCTACTCTAATCAAAGTAGACCTGTTGTATCACTTGCTGAATGGTGAGGCAACACTTATGTGAATTCCACCAATTAAATGTGTCTACTCTGATTGGGACTATCTATTGGATTCTGCCACCTCTCCTCAGGACGCAAACATAATAGCCATGGAGTACAAGGCCATATGACCGGATTTGAACGCAGCATGAAAGGGAAGCCTGATGACACATTTTAAATGGCTGCTTGCCATTCAAGATCGGCCATTTTAAGTTCACAGTCAAAATCATTTAATTTATTTCTTTTAATAGATAATTGATCATACATTGTTATATTTTATATGTATCCCTGTCCTGTGTTTTTAATGTTTTTTTATTTAAAAAGTCTTATAAGTGAATATTACTACGGGCCTTCTATATACTGCAATGCTCTGACGGAAATAGATAAATAGTTCACAGTCGATTGGATTTCCTGAGAGAGCCATGCCCCTCTTGCACGTCCTGACTGGCCTCTATCTGTCTCCTCTAATTACATCTTCTGACCCTAAAGCTCCTAGCTTTAAACTTCAGACACAAATGGGACCTGCGCTAGATTGCAGCAATGTCCCTCCAGAGAAATGCCCCTCCAGAGAGTGCTCCTTGTGGGAAAGTTATGCTTCCAGTGCTGGGGTGGGAAGATAGTTTCAGGAGCTGGGAAGGAATGAAGTGCACTTTCCCCACAACTCCCGATCTTTCCTGGCTGTCCTAGTCTTCCTCAATAAAGGACTGACAGTTCTGAATCTGATGACAATGGCACAGTATCGGAGAACATTGAAGGCAAAAGGCTTCCTTTTCTCCTCTCTCTCCTAAAAAGGATGGAGACATTCAATTTTTCCAGGTTCATTTCAGCTAAACTGGGGGGGAGATCCTGGGAACTGGACCCCCAAAACAGAACAACTTTTCTAAGCGCTCCTCTGTTTCCCTTATTCCCATCCCACCAGGGTTGTCGCATTACCTATTTAGCTGGTTCCCCTCAAGATTTTAAAGGTGTTACCCAATGCTCCTTTGGACCACTATCTGGCCTGAATTCTTCACTCAGGGTTGTGACCTATTATTTGTGAGAAGCAACCCTTTCTGTTTGGTTAGCCAATGAATAAAGCTATCAACATTTTCACAGGCCTTTATGAAGAAGTAAATGTTGCAACGTTCAGGACATGCTGTTCGTTTACTAAGAATCTCTTTGCAGAGGCACCTGCACTATTTTTACACAAAAAATTGCATAGAAACCAGTTAACTCATAGCCAGGAATGCTGGCTGGGCAATTATGGGAATTGTTGCTCAAAAAAGAAGCTTTTCAAAGCTGTGACATTGTACATCTTATTGTATTAATTTTGTTAGCAGGGGGATAGACTTGATGACTTAGGGAGTCCCTTTCAGCTCTACAGTTCTATTGATCTATGAATCCATGACTCCATGTTGTTGTTTAGTCGTTAAGTCGTGTCCGACCCTTTGTGACCCCAGAGCACACCAGGCCCTCCTGGTCTATGAATCCATGACTCCATAGCTCTCCAGAAACATTCACTTCCAGTTTTCGAAAAAGGAGCCATGTTAATCTGTGCAAGCAAATCAGGCAAACAAACATCAAAAAACCAGAAATGTTGTGGTATCCCCCACACCAATATTCATAGAGTTCAGTCATCATAAAGAAATAACATTGTCCAGGTTTGGCAACTTCTGAAAACTGGTTTGTCAATAAATATTTCAGAACCTATGCAATTTGCCTTCTCCTAATTTTATGCTCTATGGTGAGACCTTTATTCTGATTAAAATGTGATTCAGATACTCTAAAGTTAATGGTAACATGTTGAAGTAATTAAAATAAATATTTTGTTTGTTTTCTGAGACCCTACTCCACTCTCAGAAGTTGGTGGAGGGAGCTAACCAAGGAAAGAGTTTGTTTTCATTTTGATTTGATGTGCCATTAAGTTGGAACCAACTTACAGTGACCCAAACAGGGCTTTTAGAGTAAGAGAGATACATATTTACGGCGGTTTTACCAGTTCCACTCCCCCCAGGGAATTCCTATGGTTGAGCAGGGATTTGAACCCAAGCTCCTAAATCCTAGCCCATCACTCTTTCCACTACACCATTTTGTAGTCATTTAGATTGTAGGTAATACATATCTGAAACGTATTCAACATTGCATCACCATTATTATATTCTTGTTCTAAATCATAATTATTTTACTGTATTCCAATTCAACTAGTACAGCGTTTTTTTGTTGCTGTTTACATTTAATTAATTAATTTTTAATAATTCCAATTCGACTGGTACAGGGTTTTTTGGGTTGCTGTTTACATTTAATAAATTAATTGTAATTACCGGTATAATTAATTAATTAATTAATTAATTAATTAATTAAAATATGTTTATCCTGCCATTCTCCTTCTCTGTTTGCTTTCTTCTATTGGCATTATTGTGCATTTCAGGTAGGGATTTGGGTGGATAACTCAGTGAAATGAAGAACAGGGCTGGGGAGATCAATTTCCTACTGTGCCTTGTAAGAGAAGAGGCAGCCTGGGCAGCCTTGGGTTCTATAGTGCCCCATCGGGGGTGGGTGGGAAGGAATGGTAAATGA